TGCTATCTTAAATTTATATGACTTTTTTATGGTTTTTACCTTTCATTCTTTTGTTAAGCACTTTGGTCACCTTCCAGAGTTGGGAAAGAACTTGACTGACTGATAAACTTGATATAAAATAGTACTTTTGACTCTAATTATCTGAACTTTGGATTTGTTTTGCTGCTCCTAGCGATACTTCTTTATGGATTTTGACAATAACTTTTTTACGCTAATAAACAAAATAAAATTTACACAACAAATGCACTACAAGTTTTAAAGATGAAGTAGTGTAAAATTGTTGGACTGATTTTATATTTTCTGTCAAACACAGTTACAAAATGTGACGGACCAAAAAGGTTCCGCTGTAAGAACGGGGAGTGTATCGACAGCAGCAAGGTGTGTGACAGCGTTAAAGACTGCAAGGACTGGTCTGATGAGCCAATGAAGGAGTGTGGTAAGTTTTTTTTTCTATCGTTCACGCAGAAATACACTTGCTTACCTTGCTTACCTGTGTGGGTGGCCATTCCTCCTGGAAAGCAGTGCGCCCCCACAGGCCCCCCTAGGAAGACCACCCCTGCAACTTGCTTAAAAAAATCACATTTGTGCTCACACAAACTATACATTCATCTGCTTTAATGATGATGTTTCAAGAAAGCAAAAGTGCCTTTCTTTAATCGAGGCATAAATGTTAAAGCCAAGAAATACACCTATTTTAATCCAATTTTAATAAATTACTTATTTAATATGTCACACTTTAAATATATGCATGTCAATTAGGGTGACCATTTTCATTTGTGTTTCTCAGATTTGAGGTAAGTGTGTTTGATGCATAGGCCTTTTGTTTTTAAAGGGAATGTATTATGCAAAACTCACCTTTGGCATTCTCTTTTGCCACCATGTATGTCTACTGCCTCTATAAGCACTCCAAACATGAAAATAAAACATCATAACGTTTTCTGTCAGTGTCTGCTTTAAAGAATTATACGCCTAAAATGAACTACCCCATTTGTGATGTCACTAACGGGGACTTTCAAAAAGAACATCCTCTCACATGCAAGGGAGAGCTGCTGGAGGAGCGGCGACTCTAGTTTTCTGTGTTTTCCTAAAGTGACACAGCCCTGAAACGGCTCATTCTGGCAGGTACTGAAAATGTCAAGAATAAAACTGGTGAAATGGCTTCATGTGAGCGGGATTACCTGTCAAACAGCATCATAAACATGTTTTGTATCGACCATGAAACCATTTATAATTAGTTTTAAAAAGTCATAACATGTTCCCTTTAAATGAAACAAAATGCAGGAGCAATGGAAAGCACTGCTACAGGCTAAACTAGGACCAACTTGGTGTGCCACCCCGAAATTACCACCCTCATGAAAAAATCCTGGGGGCACCAATGTTGGAAGGAGGTGGTTGGTTTGATCAAGGTAGAATAAATAGGAACTTTTCTCAACTGTGTGTTATGATCAAAGAGCTGAGCTCCTCTGTTCTGTTGTGGTCTTGGCAAGGAGGAGGGCGTGGTTGTTCTACTTTACCCATAAGGAGTCACGTAGATTACCCCCGCCACTCTTAAAATGACCACTTTGTGATCTTCAGGCGCACATCTCACAAGCAAACAGAGGAAGGCTGCTGAGAAAATCAAATTTCCTAATCAAATCAGTGAAGTTGATGAACCTTGTGAAATTGCAGTTAGAACTGAACTGAACAACCAGGGCCTTCTCTCAAGTGCTTATGAAAATGTCTGAAGTTCAGCTGTCGAAACGGCTCTTCACGATGAACTCCTGAAGTGGAGAGGTCTCGTCGTGTACTAGAATACAGGATTAGATCTGAGCATGTTGCCCTTTAGCTACCTCTCATTCTAGAGCAGATACCAGGATGGTGTAATTAGAAAACTCTGCAATCTCACCTCGGTGTTAAATATGAGGGAATGTTCTTCTTCGGGGTGAGGGGGCCACAAGGAGAGGGCTCGCGAGCCAAACGTGGCCTGCGGGCCACCTATTGAATATTGCTGCTTTAAGTGTTCTTTGACTTCGTCTCTCAGTCTCAGTCCCAGTTCCCCAGCTCTACCTGAGGCCCTAAATCTTAAATCTTTAATGTAAATCTGTAATGAAGTACCAGCTTCAGCTCTCTGCTGTGATGTCTCTCAACCCCCTGGAGGGCGGTTGAAAGACAAAAGGATAAGTGGAACCACGGAAAGGATACCTGCTAGAATCCAATTCACTCATGTATCAGAAAGAGGAGGGAATGGGTAAGAGATGAGAGGCCAGGGTGCGCTTGTGCAAGATGTGTGGGCGTAATGGAGGAGTGGCACCTGATTTAGTCCACTATCCCAGGAGGGAAATGGATCCGTTCAGAGAGCTTTGGACTAATACCGCGCCTGTGGGTGAAGAACACACACATTACCATACTACACACAGCCATACCGGGGTTTCTTATTGGAAGGCTTTGAAGCTCACTGTCTGAATGGAAATTTTTGATGTATACCGACACACTTGACAGCACAAAATTATCTTGACTGACAGGTTGATTAAAACTATCTACACACACCATCTGGGGTGCTTTGTCTTTCTGTCCAACACTTTTCTTTGTGTGGTACACAGGCTGAAATATTCTGTCCAAAATAAATCTGCTAGAGTTATTTCATCAATATTCAGCTGCTTTTGGTTTGTCCTCCCACTGCTCGTCTCTGCAGGCCTGAATGAGTGTGCAGACAACAATGGTGGCTGCTCCCACATCTGCAGGGACCGGAGAATCGGTTATGAGTGTGACTGCCCCTCTGGATACAAACTCCTGGACAAAAAGACTTGTGGAGGTAAAGAAAATAAGCTTTTGCAGCAAAACTGCTGCCTTAATAGAGAAAACCATCACTATTAGTGTGTAGTCTCACCTTGTCTAGACCCTTTCAGCCAATCTGGTTCGAACTCAGCTTTTTGAGGCAAGTAAAGCCCCCGATGATCCAAAATGGCTGACTGTAGAGGTTCTGTTCAGTTTATTTTGTTTTTTTTTTATTCTTTTTGGGAACTCTGCTTCTATTTCAATCATGTTTGAGATTAAAAATTCTGGAATTAAACATGTTTATGATCAGTAAAAGGAAATCCTTCATTTCACACCTGTTCAATCCAACACTTTCACACTGCAAAAGCTGATTTTCAAGCCTTCATTTGTAGAAAAAACTTAGAAATAAGCTTAATATTGTTAAATATGAGCAAAAGTTACTTGGCTATAATTCCTAAATCCAGATTCAAGTACTGTTAGATTCATTTGCTAGTTTTAAGAATTCCAGCCAAACAACCTTTTTTTTACTCAAAACAATAAATTCTAAATCATATTTATTTCATGTCAAATAGGTAATTTAAAATTTTGCAGATAAGAGAAAACATTTTCTTTATAGACTAAAAACAAGGATTTTTTTCAGCTTTACTGAAAAGGAGTTTTTGCAGTGTACCCACATCTAAAGTGGTTAAACTAGACTAAAACCAATCATTAGGTACCCCTATTCACAAGTGAAATGAAATATTTTAAAATTGTGCTTATTTGATTTTATTATGTCTCAAGTAAATAAAACTCAACACAAGTAAACATGTAGGATGTTTACACGTTTTTACACATCCAGAATTGTACTTCAGCTATTTTTACAATAAAGTCAAGTTTACCAAAACACATTTAAGTTGGCATATTTTTTTAAAATAACTCCAGTTTAGTAGCTTGTTGGTTTTTTTTTTTTACATTACTGTTACTTTTTTTGTAGCAAAAGCTTGTTTTTCTACAATTACTGTTGCAGTGTTACATTAAACACAAGCATTTTTGCAGCTTGAATGTATTCATATGAAAATAAGCCATTACTCTAAAAAGTTCTGCATTTTTTTAAAAGGCAAACAGAATAAATAAATTAACACCCAGAAGAAAATAGAAATTCTCTCTTGAACGTTTATGTTTACAAAAAGTATTTTTTCTGTGTGATTATGTGCTTGAGAATAGCAGGTAGATGCTTTTTCTTTTGCCAAAAAAGTTTTCCCTACGTGCGTGTTTCTTTGTGTTTCAATAATAATGTTAAATATTTGATGAATGCACAAATATGTAGACTTTTTTTAGACCATGATGCAAAAAGCATGATTACATGTGTAATTTATAATTTTACTGTGACTTAAACATGTGGTTCACTGAAAAAACATTTTTTAGTTTAAAAAATAAAATTTTATTCCTGATTATAATGGGTCACTCTGTGTTTGTCATGCAGGCTTAACATGAAAATAGTCTCCTACACCTATCTCCTGCATTAGCTTCTGATAGAAAATAGACGGCAAAACTCTAGGATTAGAAAAGCCTGACAGATCTACGTCACACTGTCACTTAACATTCATGGACTCACCCGTCTTGGCTCACGACGGGGAAGGCTGTTGGTTTAGCATCCAGGAAACAGCAGAGAATGTCTCGGATAGTAGACGCTAACTGTTAGCATTAGCAACTCCACCACACAGCAGAACTCCTTCAGGCTCTTGTTTGTGGAGATAAAACATCAAAATTGCAGAGCAAACAGAGTCAGTGGTAGAGTTGCATTGCTGTTAGCCAATCAGAGGCCAGATAACCAAATATCAGGAAATAAGACTCCAAATCTTCTCCTCTGACTTACTTAAGACTTCTGACTTACTTCTAGTTTCTCAAACAGGCATACGACTTACGAGGCATTAATTCCTACTAGAGACCACTGCAGATCTATTGATTAAACGGGTGAACCACATTTTTAAGTAAATTTCCATTTAAACCATATACAGGTGCTGGCCAGTAAATTAGAATATCATCCAAAGGTTGAAAATATTTCAGTAATTCCATTCAAAACGTGAAACTTGTACATTATATTCATGCAATGCACACAGACCAATGTATTTCCAATGTTCATTACATTTAAATTTGATATTCATAAGTGACAACTAATGAAAACTCCAAATTTGGTATCTCAAAAAATTAGAATATTCTGAAAAGGCTGAATATAGAAGACACCTGCTGCCACTCTAATCAGCTGATTTACTCAAAACACCTGCAAAGGCCTTTAAAAGGTCCCTCAGTCTTGTTTTGAAGGCACCACAATCATGGGGAAGACTTCTGACTTAACAGCTGTCCAAAAGACAATCATTGACACCTTGCACAAGGAGGGCAAGACACAAAAGGTGATTGCTAAAGAAGCTGGCTGTTCGCAGAGCTCTGTGTCCAAGCACATTAACAGACAGGCGAAGGGACGGAAAAAATGTGGTAGAAAAAAGTGTACAAGCTCTAGGGATAACCGCACCCTGCAGAGAATTGTGACGACAAACCCATTCAAAAATGTGGGGGAGATCCACAAAGAGTGGACTGCAGCTGGAGTCAGCGCTTCAAGAACCACCACGAGGAGACTCATGAAAGACATGGGATTCAGGTGTCGCATTCCGTGTGTCAAGCCACTCTTGAACAAGAAACAGCGCAAGAAGCGTCTCGCCTGGGCCAAGGACAAAAAGGACTGGACTGATGCTGAGTGGTCCAAAGTTATGTTTTCTGATGAAAGCAAGTTCTGCATTTCCTTTGGAAATCAAGGACCCAGAGTCTGGAGGAAGAGCGGAGAAGCACAGAATCCACGTTGCATGAGGTCCAGTGTAAAGTTTCCACCGTCAGTGATGGTGTGGGGTGCCATGTCATCTGCCGGTGTTGGCCCACTCTGTTTCCTGAGGTCCAGGGTCAATGCAGCCGTCTACCAGGAAGTTTTAGAGCACTTCATGCTTCCTGCTGCTGACCAACTTTATGGGGATGCAGACTTCACCTTTCAACAGGACTTGGCACCTGCACACAGTGCCAAAACCACCAGCACCTGGTTCAAGGACCATGGTATCCCTGTCCTTGATTGGCCAGCAAACTCGCCTGACCTTAACCCCATAGAAAATCTATGGGGTATTGTGAAGCGGAGGATGCAATACGCTAGACCCAACAATGCAGAGGAGCTGAAGACGACTATCAGAGCAACCTGGGCTCTCATAACACCTGAGCAGTGCCACAGACTGATCGAGTCCATGCCACGCCGCATTACTGCAGTTATTGAGGCAAAAGGAGCCCCGACTAAGTATTGAGTGCTATACATGCACATTCTTTTCATGTTCATTCTTTTCAGTTGGCCAACATTAGAGAAACAAACATTTTTTCATTGGCCTTTAGAATATTCTAATTTTCTGAGATACCAGATTTGATGTTTTCATTGGTTGTCACCTATAAATATCAAAATTAAACGTAATAAACATCGGAAATACATTGGTCTGTGTGCATTGCATGAATATAATGTACAAGTTTCACGTTTTGAATGGAATTACTGAAATATTTTCAACCTTTTGATGATATTCTAATTTACTGGCCAGCACCTGTAGGAGTACAACCGAGCTATCAATAATCTCCTTTTGAATAGAAAATCTTGTGTTTGGACATTTTACAAGCAGAGATTTCCACTCCCCGTTTTTTTTTTTTTTTTTTTTTGCTTCCTGTAGACATAGATGAGTGTGAGAACCCAGACGCCTGCAGCCAGATCTGCATCAACTACAAAGGAGATTATAAGTGCGAGTGCTATGAAGGCTATGAGATGGACCCTGCCTCCAAGACCTGCAAAGCTGTGGGTAAGCCAATTGTCACATGCACACATTCTCACACAGGAGAAGAAACACACCGTCTCACCCAGATCCACCCATGTGCCCACATCTACTTCAGCGAAATCACACAAAGAGACCTGCTCTTGTATAAACACCAATTACTCATCCGTTCCAGCAGCCCCGACTACAAAGTGACATCCTACACCGTTCTCTCACACAGTCGGACTCTGTGAAAGAAGGTGCTTGCTTTGTATGCAGCGCCCGCACAGCAATGTGTGCAAAGATAAATATTTGCCATCTTTTTTCTTCAGTCCTCAATAATGACACGTTTCTGAACCAGCTGCCTCTCCTCTTCCTGGGGGTGTCAGGAGGAGGGTGTTAGTGTGAGGAAGGGGTCTTCACTCCCTGCAGGACACAGACAGGATTGGTGCCCCTTATTTGCAAGGGAGAATACTGAGTGGTGTTGTGAATGACAATAAAATCCTTTTTTATTTTAGCTGCAACATGGTAGGAAATAAACCATCTTCCTTTATCGTGAAGAGAAAAGCAACCTGCGGATTATCTTTTTGATCTTCTCACATGTCAATGTTACATTTTTGCACTCGTGCACCTAGAATAGTGAGTATTTTCAAAGCATCATTGAATTTTATGATCAATTCTGTCCTGGGTATTTGGAATGGGGCGTCATCCTTAGTGATTTACACAGTAAATTAACTTTTCAACAGGAAAATGGGGAGAAAAAGCATCATCAGTAATTATGGTCTTAGGTGAAGTCATTATAGGGTAAGCTGGTTGGGTAATGAGAGTGCTTAGAGCTGAAAACATATGCTCACGCTGAAGCTAAAAGGCATAAAAAATAACCATTGATTGGTTGATGTTGTTCCGTGAGAGGGAGAGGCAAGCAGAGAAAGGAGAAAGATACAAGAACAAACAGACCAATTGCTTTATTGTCTCTGCTCATTAATATGGTGTAACATAAGACATGTGCATGAATGCATTCTTGAAGCAACAATGTCTTACCATGTTTTTTTGCCTTTCATTCAATCCACTGTACTTTTTTTTTTACTCCTCCTGTTACACAATGTTTGATTTCATTCTCCTCCTTCCGTCACTCTCCCAATTGCGTCGCCTTTCTCTTCATACCTCCGTGACAGCACCTGCTTTGTGTCTATCTCCGTCTGGCTCAGCAGGTGAAATTGATGGTTACAAACCTAGTAGTCAGAAGGAAATGATTGCATCCAAACAGTCGTAGAAATGGAATATGTTCTTCCCGTGAAGCGGCGCATGGTAAACACAGGAGCCCTGTTGAGGCGCGGCTGGTCGTGGATGTTTTTGGGTTTGCGTGAGCATGCCTGTTGTGTGACTCGACTAAATGCTTCAGGTGGCATTTCTGCTTTTTGACGAAAGGAGAGAAAAGGAAATATAACATGTTATGTGTGGGAAATGAAGAAAAAGAGGAAAACCATGGAGATCCATAGAAAACAACACTGAGTTAAAATAAAGAGTTTGATCATCTCTATTCACTTAAAGGTGCAATATGTAAGACTGGCGTCCTGTGGTAAAATGTGGTTACGTCCACTTTTCTAAGCAAAAATCTCCCTTTCTCACTGAATCATGGCTGTTGCCAGTTACGGATCAGCACCAGAAGAGTCTAGATGACAAGTGAAGACTAGTCATACACAGTAAGTTGATAAGTAGATAAATACATAGTCATATCTGGTGTTTTACCTTACTACACTTATTACGGTAGTATGCCTCCATCACTAGGGGAAGGTAAGTTGTTTGCCGTCTTGCTGATAGCTTGCTGTTATTATTCTGAATTAAAGGGCGTCAATCCCCACAACTTACGCATTCAATTCACACACACATTTTACTGTAATATTGAGTTTTTGGTTAGTGGAAAAAGTAACTTGAGTTATTTTTGGAGTATACTGTTTGCATTTAATTGACCGTCAGCCTTGTTAGCTCAACTCAACAGCTCAACACTCAGCATTAACGGGATATTTTGCAACTTTTTCATATTTTTAAATCTTTTTCTTGAGCAAGTATGTGCTAAAATGACCCTTTACAGGGCTAATGAAAGGCCACCCAGCACCTATTGCCCCCTGTGGCCAGAATATCACACAACTTCACAGTTGCCGGTCCAGTCTGTTGGGAGTTACTGTTACTGCTGTCTGGCTCCAGCACCTTTCCTGCATGTTTTAGATCGTGAACACAGCTGATTTGTTTAATTTAGTGATGAATCACTCTTGTAGAGACTAAGCAAGGCTGGGAGATGTTTCAGCTGTTAGATAAAAGTGTTAAAAAGACAAACGCATAGCTAGGAGATTTGGTTTAGTTTCGCTTTTGCAAACAGACACTAGTAAGTAGGAAGTAAATAAATTTTATTTCTATAGCACTTATCACAGACAAAGAATCACAAAGTGCTTCGCACAGATCAAAATGAAACTAAGTCATAAAATCATAATGATCTCAAAACAGAAATAGATTAACATCAGAAAAAATCAACTCATACAATTATAAAATTGTATAAACTGATGAAAGATTACAAATTTGAGTTAAAAATAAGAAAATAAAAGATTTAGTTGAAAGCAGCTTTAAATAAAAGGGTCTTTGGCTGTTTTTAAAGGTGTTCAGACTGTCAATGCTGCGTAAAGATAAAGGAAGATCATTCCAAAGTCGGGGTGCAACAGTCTAGAAGGAGCGATCACCTCGACTTTTATATCTGGTCTTTGGAACTTCTAGAAGGCTCTGGTGGGCAGACCGGAGGGCTCGAATTGGGGCATAAGGCTTTAGCAGTTCAGTAATATAGGGAGGAGCTTGACCATGTAGAGCATTGAAAGTTATAGTCAGGATTCTAAAATGAACTCTAAAGTTAACGGGTAACGCGTGCAGAGACATTAGAATAGGAGTGATGTGTGCTCTTCTGTTTGCTCCAGTTAGAAGCCTCGCTGCAGAGTTCTGGACCAACTGAAGGTGGTCAAGGGCCTTTTTGTTAAAACATGTGAAGAGTGTGTTACAGTAATCTAGATGGGAGGAGATAAAGGCATGGATAACCATTTCAAGTTCATGTTTTGACACCAACCTTCACAGTTTGGAAATATTTCCTAAATGATAAAAACTGTTTTGGACCAATGTTTTTGAGTGGCCTTCAAGGGATCTGAACTTCTGTTAGAAAGGTACGATCTAAACCAGTCTAGAACAGTTCCAGAGATCCCCACCGAGTCACCAAGCGGTTAGCACCAGTGGGTGCTAAAAGCAAGCCAAAGCTGTCTTGTCTCCCTTTAAGGCGTTCGATTGGGGAGTTAAACCACCAAATGGTTCCCGAGTGCGGCTGAGTCTGCAGCTCACCGCTCCCCCAGGAGATGGATGAAATGAGGAGAATAAATTTCACAAGTGTGTGACAACTAATGAGACTTTATTTCACCGTAGAGTTCTTACATTCTGCTCCTTTAAATACAGCTTCTGCACAGTGTAAATATGCACTGACTATGTGTAGCTATACGCAACCACATTTGGATGTTTCTACCTTCTGCTGGCGTGTTCTTTATTTATGTGAACTATAGTTAATCCTGAGTGATTCAAGCACCCTGCATTCTGCTGAACACTGAGCCCTGCAGGGAACTGATGTTCCAGCTATCAGAGAACACACACACACACACACACTTGTGACACACAGGTATAACAAAAATAGAACAATATGTCACGTTCCTTTTTGGGTCACTCTATTCACATTGTGCTTTGTCAGCAGAGCACCTGGTGTCTTCTTAAGGTCTGCTTTTTATTTGGGTCAAGTCGCACTCTTCACGTGCTTTTCTGCACTGCAGGTAACTGTGAGAGGAATCGTGTCTCAGTTGAAGAGTGTGGTCAGCAGAATGTTAAGTTTGATTATTCCTAAAACAGCATTAAAAGTGCATCTTCTCAGGACCTTAATATAACACTTTCAGTGTTGATGCACATATTTAAGGTTTGATAAACAGGTTATGAGTCAGTATTACATTTTTTGATGTCTTACCAATAAAATAACATGACAGTAAACTGTGCTTGTAATTGTTGGCATCCCAGTAATAGTCCAGCAGTAGTTCTCAAATGCTTTCTAAAGAGTCCCTCTAGGGTTGGGCAATATAAATGATTTAAGGTAGAAACGATATAAAATTGGGTAATGATAGAGTTTTTGGCTATATAGCAATACCGCGATATCGCGATAACACATGACGTCACTAAGATGTGCAACCTGCTGTCATTGGGAACACAGAATGGCAGTGACTGCAAGCATGGAGTGGGTGGAAGAGGAGGCCTAAGCCCCCTTCAGACAGGCCATGAAAAATGGAAATGTTCGGGACTCTGTCCGTAAGACCTTTGTGTCTGAATACAAACATCCGGATAACCTTTTCCGTAATTAAACCGGACGAAGCCCCTAGTAACAGGTCCGGACTTGTCACGGACAGGGTGGCTGCTTCAGACTGGTGAGGTCGAGTTCCGGACAGGGAGGAGAGGGAGGAGGAGGGGACCGGGGGACGCTGTGCGCACCTAGATAGCACGCTCCTGTAGCATGCGGCGAACCATGGCAGCTCGCCTCCTACGGTACCGTCTCCTAGACGCGCAACGGAGCGCTTCACACCGCTTCCGTGATTCCTTTATTAGCCATTGAGGTTCATCATCCAGGTCTCTTATGCGTCTTCGTGTGCGCAGAATTATGCTTAACATAAGTCCTATCAGTGAGAGGAATTCAATCTCTTCGTCTGCCATTTTTGACTGAATGGCTTTGTTTGGGTAAATGACGCATTGTACACCCGCCGCACTATGTTTACGCAATATCTAGGTACAGCCTTCCCACCCCCTCCCCCTCAGACATCTGTAACTTTTCCCTGCTGTGTGAAGGCAGCCGAAAGGACAAGTTCAGGTACAAACGTGGTGTGTCTGAAAACACAGTTCTGGTTAAAAACCGGACTGAATTGTCCACACATATTCCAGAATGCCAATCTGAAAAGGGCTCTATATGCCTCAAGTGGCATATATTTGCCACATGAGGATATTTAAAAGCATGTAATTTTGACATATATAAACAGAGGAAAAAATATATCGCAATATATATCGTTACCGCACATGCCTCAGATTATATCGCAATATAGATTTGAGGCCATATTGCCCAGCCCTAAGTCCCACCTCAAAAAACAACTAAGCCCTCTAATTTACACCTTAATATTAAATTAACTGGCTAGATTTTTTTTATTTTGTTCAGTCTGAGACACGATGGTTTGTGCAGCAACTCATGCACAACTGGCTATTTCTGATATTTATTTTTAGATTGCATTTGATTTTATGATGGTTAACCTCGGTGGTCATAAAAGGTTCAATCTCATACCAAAACGGTGAATAATTAGCAGATTTTAAATGACTTGTTTAAAGGTCAACTTTACTCATCTTTTGAATAAATTTGCAGTGGTCTCTGGTAGGAATGAATGCCTTGTAAGTCATTCTCTGGGAAAACTAAAGCTCCAGTGTGCCTGTGTGAGGACGTAGAAGTCAGAGAGAGGAGACACTGGCAGAACAAGACAGGATTTAGAGTCTTATTTCCTGATATTTGGACATCTCACCTCTGATTGGCTAATAAAAACGTGATCACTGACTTGGAACATGGATGTGGTGGAGTTGTTAATGCTAATGGTTAGCTTCTTCTAGTTGAGACATTCTCTGGACACTGAACCAACAACAGCCCTCCCCGTTGTGAGTCAAGATGTGCGAGTCCATGAATGCTAAGTGAGAGTGTGACCTAGATCTGTCAGGATTTTCAAATCCTATAGAGTTCCAGTGTCTGTTTTCTATCAGAAGCTAATGCAGGAGATAGGTGTAGGAGACTATTTCATGTTCAGCCTGCATGAAAAACCGAGAGTGACCCAGTAGAATCAGAAATAATCAGTAGAAAAAAGTTTTTTCAGTGAAGTTGACCTTTAAATTAACACCAAGTCGATTGCCAAATATGCAAGTTACCTAACCAAACATCTACTGTACGATGGGCTCTGGAGTCATCAGTGACAGTTCAGAGCTACGGTAAACAACCGTTATCGACTCATCACCATCGCAAAGACACTGATATCAGCTGCTTCTCCCGTCACTTACGTGCCTTTTGTTGGTACTTCTTTGGAAGATCTCCATGTTTGTGTTTCCTCTAGGTGCTGTCAAAGGTTTTTACTTGCCCTGGCGTGTTGCACATGAAACATTCTTGATTGACGCGCTTGCAAACATTGATTAGCTCCAGCTGTTTTTCTCTAACTTTCTATGTGCTTTATTCAAAATATTACAGTCCCATTAGTTGTCACACACTGATGAAATTTGTTCTCCACAGTTGATCCATCTCCTGGGGGAGTGGTGAGCTGCAGACACAGCCGCACTCAGGAACCATTTGGTGGTGTAAATGCTGGTTGAACCCCTCAGTGAAGCGTGTCAAGCGGGGAGGCATTGGGTGCCATTTTTAAAGTCTTTGGTATGACCAAACCAGTATTTGAACCCACGATCTCCCAGTCTTAGGACGGACACTCCACTAGACCACTGAGCTGGTTTTTATTTTCTGTTTGTTTTTATTTAAAAGGAAATCCTAAACGCCACCACCAGTTCTAGAACCAGTGACCCTTTTATCCTGTTCTTTTAACTTTAAGCAGTAAATAAATGGCATAATATATTGTTTTAACTTGCTTGTAATAACATAATCATCCTCCCGTCTCTATTAGGAAAGAGTCCGTACCTGATGTTCACCAATCGCCATGAAATCCGTCGCATCGACCTGCTGAAGAGTGAATACACTCAGGTGGTTCCAACACTGAAGAACGCTGTGGCTCTGGACGTGGACGTGTCCACAAACAAGATGTTCTGGTGTGACCTTTATCATCGTACGATTTACAGGTACATGCACAAACAGGACTAGCCTGACTCTTTTGTTATATTTCGTGTTATTAACTCCTAAGCTGGTTCCTGTGCTTGAAACAGATTCTGTTCTGGAAAATGACAAAGCACATTTAGCATAGGCTGTGTTTGTCTGCGTGCGTGCGTGCGTGCGTGTGTGTGTGTGTGTGTGTGTGGTTAAGTATTACCATCGACAACATGAGCCATAAAGTCTCTTCCACGTTCTTCACTGGATGTGTCATTATCATTCCCCTTCATCTATCCATCTCTGCTGCTTCAACCTGTCACACCTTCTGGTGTCCAAGCAGACGCACCTGTAGGGCTTTGTCATCCGTCTGATGGTAAAAGGTGGAGCTGTTTGTCCTTCACACGTACGCGTGCACACTCATTCACACCCTGTCAGATAAACCTCTGGAACATCATTGTTTCTTGTGTGTGTGTGTGTGTGTGTGTGTGTGTGTGTGTGTGTGTGTGTGTGTGTGTGTGTGTGTGTGTGTGTGTGTGTGTGTGTGTGTGTGTGTGTGTGTGTGCTTGTGTGTTAGCCTGATGGCTGGCAGGTAGACGGCGAGGCCTTCTATCATCTCAGCTGAGCCATATGTTCCCTTTAATTTCACTGCCTCAATAATCACCATCATTTCTCATCTGCATACACACATCTACATTCCCCCTCATAAACCCGGTGATACACTCAAGGGCTTGTGACAGAGGAAGGACAAATGAACTCACTCTTCACGAGGAACTCTATTTTCAAAGCAGTAAACAAACGTACGCGTGCAGAGTTTCTCTAAATGATTTGCAGCTAATGAAGTCGTGCGGTTTGACTCGGCCCCGTTCTCGACGTCTTCCTTTTTCCTTTGAAAGCTAAACTTTTGCACGAGGAACGTCTTGATCTGAGCTCTTCTTTAGGATAGGAATTGCAATCAAGGCTTTTTCAGTGGTGAATCTTATCAATGGAAATTTATGGCAACTTAAATGTCATAAAGTTGGAGGTGAAATCGCTTTAACTGCTTCTTGTAATCTCTGCAATTCAAGAATTTTGCAAGTCAGTGATGACGGCTCTTCCAATAATACTATAAATCTGATTAGACTTGAAGTTTAACTGCTTGGCTGATGGCAGTAAGTCCGCTCAGGTAACTTGGATTCATTCAAACATGATACCCTTGAGAATTGTTTAAAGAGAGGAACATCATCCTCAGGCATCAGATTTCTGAAAGGATGGTTAAAATGATGTTTCTGCATGTCAGAGCCAAGGGAAACCTACCTGTTACCCAACACAGCAGTAGCTGGACTGTACAAAAATGTTTCATCTCTGATTTTCATGTCTTTTCCACAAATCATCACCTCATTAAATATTTAGTTAAATTATTTAATTAGAAATAAAACTCAATTCAAGAAGAAGCACATGAACTTCAACTGCACTAAAACAGGCAATCAAAGATATACATGGAGGGCAGCAACAGGAACACCACATTCTGGGTTATAATGCAAAACATCTGAAACATAAGTGAACACTATTTCTTTTAAATGACTAAAATGGCAATAAAAAAATCAGACAAACCCATCCATCCATCATCCATCCACGCATTGTCTGAACCCGCTTGTCCACGGGGGGTTGGGGGGTTGGTGCCTATCTCCAGCGGCCAATGGGCAATCAGGTGGGGTACACCCTGGACAGAGAGCCAGTCCATCGCAGGGCAACACAGAGACACACAGGACAAACCATCATGCACACACACACACACACACACACCTAGGGACAATTTAGACAGACCAATTAACCTAACAGTCATGTTTTTGGACTGTGGGAGGAAGCCGGAGTACCCGGAGAGAACCCACGCATGCACAGGGAGAACATGCTAACTCCATGCAGAAAGATCCCAGGCCAGGACCTTCTCGCTGCAAGGCAACTGCTCTAACCACTGCGCCACTGTGCAGCCCATCAGACAAACCATTATCATTATTTTTCTTTAAATGTGCAATATTTAAGAATGAAGCAAGAATATCATCCTGTGGTCAAATGTAGTTACTGCAGTTTATTTTTTAAAGCAAACAAAATCACTTTCACACTGCTGTTGTGAGTTTCATGGGTGTAGCCGGTTATGGACCAGCGCCAGGAGATTCTAGATGACAAGCAGACACGAGTCATGCACAGTAAGTTGATGAGCAGATGAATACATCATCATATCTGATGTTTGCTCTGGTGGGTGTTTTTCGGTAGGGAGCACCTTCTACACTTATTACGTTAATATGCCTCTAGCATTAGAGGACGTGTTGCTAGCTTGCTGTTATAGTTCTGAAGAACTCATTAAAGGAAGGAAAACACCATGACTGACCCATTGTTCACTAGGGCTGCAACAACGAATCGATAAAATTAATAAAATCTATGGAAAAATGGGTTGGCAACGCATTTCTTCATCGATTCGATGTGTTGTGTAACTTTTTTTCATGTTGCACAACCTTTATTTAACAGTCAATGCGCACAGCTCCTGTGTAGGAGGCAACAGAGAATGTAATATAATTAATGTGAATATTATTTAAACTGGATTATTGCCAAACCGTAAATAATAAAAATCATTTTTATCAGTAGAAACTAAATGTTGTTAGCATTTCCAGTAACTTACTACTGATCATGTTAATGAAATACATAAAGTTTTACTGGTCATAGTTTTAATTATGGATATATTTAGATGATAGCATGTTGTTTTGCACACTACTGAACTGTTTTCTAATCGTATTTTGTGGTTAAATAAAGTAAAAGAAGGAGAGAAAAAATGTTTCCCTAGCAGTTTTTAATTAAGTTATTTAGTTAATGACATTGTGGGATATGTGGGGTCTTTTTAATCTGTAAAGCACTTTGAGTTACATTTTTTTGTGTGAAAAGTGCTTTATAAATAAAGTTAGATTTGATTTAAATTTTCCCCGTTTAATCTGATTAATATAGTCGAGACCCTATCCGATTCATCGATGATCCAATTAATTGTTTGTTGCAGCCCTATTCACTTTACACACACATTTCACTGTAATATCGAGTTGTTGGTGATTGAAAAAGTAGCTTGAGGTATTTTTAGAGCTGACTATTTGTGTCGAATTCACCATTAGCATTGTTAGCTTAATGTAAGCCTCTAGTCTGCTTTATCCAATATTAGAGTAAAACAAAAAGATGCTGTGGCTTCGTTAGGGTACAAGAAATTACTTCTGGGTCGCTCCTGTTTACTGGCTTTGGTTCTCTAAACAACACTGGAGCTTTTTTCCTGCTTGTGTCGAATTACAAATGCCAGAGTTGCAGCTTTAGCTAACCAAAGACATGTCAACCTCACAAACTCTCAGAGTGTAAAACAGTAACTACGTTTTTTAACCCTCCCACTGACCTAATGGGTGTGACCCCGAGAGGAAAGTTGACCATTGAGCAGTGTTGATGGTTTATCCCTTGGGTCCACGTGGCAGGGGTGAGGAGTGAGCACCACAGTGGGAGGGTTAAAGGAGGAAAACTGACAAACCCCGGGCCGGCTGAGAATGTTTCAGTGTAACCTTCCTTCCAACATGATTTAGACAAAAGATGGTTTTGTGATTGTTTCACTGTAGAAATCTTACATATTGCTCTTTTAAAGTAGTAATTCACCCTCAGCTTGATGATGTGGTTATGCATACATTCATTGTGATAAGCACGCAATGGGTTCTTGTCTTGTTTACTTCTTGTGTTACAGATGTGTTTCAAACAGTTCTGCAGCCAATTAAAGATGCAATCTGCTCTGTGGTCATGGAGTAATCTGGGTCCTTCTGCAGCTGTAGCCTTTGTTTATCCTTCCAACTCGATTCAAGTAGATTAAATAAAGACCTTGAACTAAAAATCGACAGAATGAATAAAAACATTGAAATTGATGTTGCCTTTTCAAAAAATACCTTTCTATTTGAACCTTTTATCATTGTTACTGTCAAGATGTAGGATGTAAGATACTTTTTAAGCTCTGAAGCAGATGGATGAATCCTAAGTTACTGTTTTTAAATTTACCATCACTGCATCAATAACACAATGGATTACAATCCACATCCAAATTTTCTCCATCCCTCGTTTTAATTTGCTCCCTGATGGAGAAACAATTGTTTGATTTCTCTTTTACATCCTGGGGCACAAGAGAAGAGAGGGATCCTCAAATCATCTGTCATGGAAACACAGTAGCACCCCCAGGCATTACAGCCACCAATCTACGAAATGGAAGGTGTCTAGAAAATCTATGGTAGCAAATAGTAACAGTCAATTAATCTGCTACCAAGTTCTGGCTTCATCTATCCCCTCCCGATCCTTCGCTCGTATTATCTCATCAGGGCTCAGCTTTGGTACAAAAACGCCTCCTAAATCAAAGCCTGTTTGAAAGTCCTTGCACATCAGCCCTATCCCCACCTATTGACTCAACTCATTTGACAATAATTACCTATATCTTTTCACTAGATAGATATACGGAATGAAGGGAGGTGCTGAAGTAAGAAAAGTGAAATAAAAGAAACTGATGAGTAAAACCACAACATTTATCACTGGAAGTTTGTTTAGTGGACGACTAAGGTTGCTAATCAGATCCTAATTCACATATCAATTCCATGTCCTTTGCAGGTACAAATAAGGGTTTTGCACCACCATCTAATTTACAACGCTTTGTCGAAGAGATTTTTTTGTGCTTCATTCCATGCCACCAACCAAAAAGTGTCTGTTCTGGTGCGGTGTACCCGCATTTAGAATAGACATTAAAGCCATGCATCAGTTCTGAGGAAAACCTGCTCATGTTTATAATGGTTGCTGCTGTGAGTTTTAAATTTTCAAAGTGCTCCACTCTTTGTGTTAGCATGAAATAGTTTCTGTCTTCAGAGAACTTCCAGAGTCAGGAAACATAGTTAACCATCTCTTTCTGGAATGGGTGTCACATATTGTTGAAGATTTAGTAACCCCAAATTTTGAGATGATTACCGTGTGTCCCTTGTTTTCTAGAATCTACAGTATATCAATCAATCAAAGATACTTTATTAATCCCATTCAGGTTTATTTATTTTATTTTTTTAAAGAAATCCCCCCCCCCCTCCCCCTTTTTTCCATGCAGGATTTAAAAAAAATTTAAATAAGTGTGAAGAGCTGACTTTTATTCATTGATTTATAAAAGCTGCATGATTTCTTGCTGATGCGGTAGGATGTCGTTGCTTCCAGCTTTAAAGCTGGGGTCTGAAATGCGACGTAATCAAGGAGAGGAGGGGGTTTTATAGCTCCTGCTTTAACAGAGAGAAACTCTTGGAGCTCTGCATCACTCCAGTTTGTCGTCTCAGATGATTCTGTTTACAGCTCTAGACCCGTGTTTAATCTCATTTTCACTATAGCTGCCAGCCTGAGCTTGGCGGACAATCCACACATGATCATCACACCACCCTCTGTTGCACCAAGGCGTAGTGTTAACTCACAAGTCCAGCATTGTGGTAGCCTGGCAAGCCAGACTAAATAAATGTATTGTTTAGTCTGGCAACGCTCCATTGACGGCTCTCGGTCGTGGGGCGGGTTGTCTTTCAAACGATCGCCGCATGCTACTGAACAATGACCAATGTGATGTAGTCATTGCAAGGGATGTCCGTAAACAAGGTCCGCTGTTGAAGAAGGCAAAATTACATCCTTTTTTCTAAATAAAGGACCTAAATACATCTGTCTGCTTCTGATTCTAATAAAGTCCAAATAGCCCAAAATTGATGTAAAAGCCGTTTCAAACAAGGTGCCGCCATCTTGTTCTACTCTGTTGCATCATACTGCCCACCAGACGAATAGAGGGCCTTGATTGGCCCATAAAATGGATAAAGCGCTGTGATTGGTGCAAAAAGCAGATAGACCACTATTGTGGACCAATCACAGCCTCTGTAGGATTGAAACCCCTATAGAGAGCTGTGATTGGCCAGCCAGAATGCTGCTGGGGCTGCGGAGGTTCCAATGGAGCATTCCTAGGCCAAACTTTGCAAAGCAAGAATTTGGCCTAGTTCACTAGGCTAGCATTGTGGCAATATTACTACCAAGCTTGGTAGCACGAAAGCCACTAAATGGCCTCATCGCCATGCTCGCACCATGGCGGAAGTCTTATGCTGATTTGTCAGCATGGTGTGTCTCATGGTATTTGTTTGGTTTCTCCATTATTAAGTTCTGGCTTCTTCTCCTTCCTCGTTGGTGTATTGAGCTGACTAAGGCATGCCACCACTTGATTGACAGCTCACTCTTGTGGGTACACGACTCTGTCAACACTCTAAGCTTGTGTGGATTATTTGTTCTGCTGTAAAGACCAGGGGATGGACTTAGTGGAAATATAAATTATGGAAGATTTCTTACTTTTTATCATAAAACAGGGACAGATAGTCAAATTTAAACATTTTTAAGTTACTTTTAAACTGTTTAACGATGTACCTCAGCTTTTAAAAGTGCCTTTGTTCTTCATCCATTGGGACCTGCAGCCTATAATCATAGACAAAATTCCATCTTAAGATAGTGGGGTGAAAACGACTGCAGTTGGACAGAAACAGAGCGTTAACTCCATAAACCTGCTGAATGTCATTGGTTCTTTTATACACAGATCTGTTATGTGAATCTGACAGAGATAATGTTGGAAATGATGTTCCAGTTTCATCTTTTAAAACAAACACTGTAGTCAATTATAACTTTAAAGGAAGTAGCAAGGATGCAGTTTATTCACTCTTACTCTTCCATCCACCAGCGCGTACATAAACAAGGCCAGCGATTCGTCGCAGCAGGTGACGCTGATTGACTCTCTCCACTCCCCTGAGGGCCTGGCTGTGGACTGGGTCCATAAGAACATCTACTGGACAGACTCGGGCAACAAGAGCATTTCTGTCGCTACGGGAGACGGCGGGAAGAGAAAGATGTTGATAGCCACTGAGCTGAGCGAGCCACGGGCCATCGCAGTGGATCCCCACCAAGGGTGAGTGAAAAGTTTTGTGAGTTCAGGCAGTTTTGGACAGATGGACACATCATGGGAAGACAGCACAAGCTGGAAGGGGGAAAGAAATCCTGCGGCTGTCATCATTCTCTGCCGGCTGTAAACACCAGCATCACAGGGATGCAAAGTAACTGTTCAGAAGTTGACCTTTAAAGATTTCACCACAACAAAGCAGTTTAATTTTTACTGCTGGGCCATATGGTGTATTGAGCAGTTTAATGATTCTTGGGAGAGACAATGGGACCCTTTTCTTTCCTTTTTCACTACTTTGTCTTTGTTTGGGATGTTTTGAGCCTCTCAAAGGAATCTTTTCAGAGCTCAAAGCCTGGCTAGCATGAAATAGATGCAAATGAAGCCAGGTTTTCGCATGTTTCTTCTGGACTTGCGCACATTTGAACAGGAGCCAAGTTTCATTCACTGTTTTGAAATACTGTGTCATCCCAGAGGCTTGTTTCAGTGGTAAAACAAATGAGGTTCTGGAAGGAAAAATATGACAAAACTTTGATATAGTAGACTGGAATTGGTTAGATTGTAGTTTTTGTTTTGTTTTTACTTTAATTGTATGTTTGGAAGTACTATTGAAGAAGAAGACGAAGAAAGTATCATTTCTATAGCGCCTCTCAAGATAAAAATCACGAGGCGCTTCACAAAAACAAATAATGTAAAAACATAAAAAAGTATTTAGAAAATGTTGAAAAACATATTTAAATGAGCAAAAATAGACAATTGTGATAAAAAATGTTAAGAAAGAGAGAAAGTGAACAGGAAAGAGGGAAATCAGTGGATCCTGAGGAAGGTGGAATAGGTGGAGAGAGCAGAATAAAGAGAGAGTGGTGAAGAAGGTCATACAAAAGCCAGCTTGAACAAGTGAGTTTTCAGCTGCTTTTTAAAGGAGACCACTGAGTCCACTGATCTCAGGCTCAGGGGGAGAGAGTTCCAGAGTCTGGGGGCCACAGCAGCAAATGATCTGTCACCTTTGGTCTTTAGCCTGGTGCATTGCACAACCAGTAGGCTTTGGTCACTGGACCTCAGGGACCTGCTGGGGGTGTAGGGACTAAGAAGATCACCAATGTAAGATGGTGCTTGTCCACGTAAGGCCCTATAGACCAGAACCAGGATCTTGAAATGAACCCTGAAGTTGACTGGCAATTGGCTCCTGTAAGGGATAGTTTTCTATTTCTATGCAGGTTTGTGTCTAACGTGTGAATGTATTTCCCTACAGGTTCATGTATTGGTCTGACTGGGGAGATCAGGCCAAAATTGAGAAAGCTGGGATGAATGGAGTAGACAGACAAGTTTTGGTGTCTGATCACATCGAGTGGCCCAATGGGATCACCCTGGGTAAGAAAAACACCACACCTGCACAGTAGAAACAGCTCTTTAAGCAGAAACAACAGTTCCACCTAAATGTTGGGGAACAACCAATAAAATGTAAGAAGAAACAGTTCTAGGGTCCCAGCAGCATAACTGGGTCACAGAGTTAAAGCTTGTTATGTGTCTGGGTCTCCGAATTAATAAACCAGACGCTCTGTGCTGTCAATACGCACCATCATCGCTTTCAACTCCCTTAGCAGCACCAGCAAATTTCTCTCAGCTGCCCTTGCCTGCGGACAAATAGAAGAACACATTTGCCTCCCTCTGTGGAATTGAGACGTTGCTGTGCGCGCACGAAAACAAATTATTTTTAGAATAAAGCAAATGAGAGAGTGGGCCCAGACTGCATTACGGGAGAAGAGGTGGGTTATTCTGCTTTTGGTCATCGATTTCATACAGAGTGGGTGACTGTCTGAGTCAGAGGGGATGAGCTTTTTCCTACTCTGTAATGATGAAACAAAATAACTTGTTAGCCTAACAGCTTTATCCGCTCTCTCCTTTAAGCATGAGACTCCTGGTTTTTTTTTTGAACAACGTTTATGTATTGCTTCCTCCGTATAAACGCTTGCACACTTTAAAAATGAGCACCAGTGGTGCTCCTTGGCCAGTAGCAATGAAAAAGCAATGTTGTGAGGCTCCTCTAAGGGCTGATTCATACTGACACTGCTCCAGCATGTCGGATGTGTTGGATCGCCATGATGCGACGTCGTATGGCCAATCCAACAGTGTTTGATCGTGTTGGAACATTGGTTGGAGTCTAGCTCTATTTTCTAAACACCCAACGGCGGCGTTGTATGCTGGACGTCTGTTATTGGTCAACCATAAACCCAACATAATTTCCGGCACAACGTAGCTTCCCTTAAAAAATGTAAACAGCGCGAGTGTTGACGCAGTCTTGAAGACATGGAGCAGAGGGACCAGAGTTGTTGTAAGGGCGACAGTGGCACAGGAGTTAAGTGCTCACTCCGTAATTGGAAGGTTGCAGGTTCGAGCCCCACTCAGTCTGTCGCTGTCGTTGTGCCCTTGGGCAAGACACTTAACCCACCTTGCCTGCTAGTGGTGGTCGGAGGGACCGGTGGCGCCAGTGCTCGGCAGCTTCGCCTCTGTCAGTGTGCCCCAGGGCAGCTGTGGCTAGCTCATCCCCACCAGTGTATGAATGTGTCTGTGAATGGGTGAATGACTGATTGTGTTGTAAAGCGCCTTGGGGGGTTCCAGGACTCTAGAAGGCGCTATATCAAATACAGGCCATTTACCATTCTTCTAGCTCAAGCAGCTCCTTGGCACTTGCCAAATGTGCCTTTGCTCAAAGGTTGGTTTATGGTCCACGAGGTTTGCACGGCTCCACGCGGCAAAATTGTGTCATTTTAACAACCACTCCCCTCCACCGTGCCTCCGCACGGCCCAAACTTTCCGTACCTCTAGGAAATTTTCTAACCATGTGGACGGTCAAACGCGGAAAAACATGGCGGACTGGCAAGAACTAGTTATGGCAGAGGTTCGTAAATACAGACATTTGTATGATTCAGCTCTCAAAGATCACCGTGGTCAACATGTTGTTAATAATTCTTGGAGAGAAACAGCTCGCACTGTCGGAAAAGACGAGGACGCTGTTAAATAATGCTGGAATGCCATGTTGTAAACAACAGTAATTTTTACTTCTACTATGGTGTAGTGTTGGATGCACGCTGTAGAGCTCCATGCTGCCCCCTACAGTTTGGGAGAATATTGGCTCACCGCAGAGACAAGCCGCATGAACCATAAACGCTGCAAGTTGTGAAGCGCGTTCCATCCGCGAGCCATATCACCAAGCGGAAAGTAAATGCGTCGAGCATAAACCAAGCCTAAGCATGAATCAGGCTTAACTGTGTCAGCAGCCGTTACTTGGAGAATATTGGGAATGTTTAACACCAAATCATGCTTTTAAAAAAGGCCAACCAAAACTAATGAATTTGCTCAAGGGCACACATACTTTCCCCCGGTGAGCAAGTCAAGCAGCAATATTGCAATCACAAGTGTGTTTTCTCAGTGCGGGGGCTCCAACGTCATGTCGGAGAAGATTGATGGTGTAGCCGTTGAGCCATTACATTCATACGCCCCTCGCCTTTCTTGGTTTGCTGAATGACCTTCCCTTTTCACCTCCTACCTCCTCCTCCTTTCTTCGTCTCTCACTCGGTTGTGTTCTTAATTCTGTCTACATCTTGTCAGATTTGTCCAACAGGCGTCTCTACTGGGTGGACTCCAAGCTGCACCTGCTGTCAAGTGTAGATCTTAATGGAGACAACCGCAAAGTGCTGCTGTCGTCCCATCACCACCTCGGACACCCCTTCGCCCTCACCGTGTTTGAGGTACAGGAAAAACTTCACATTGGAATAAAATTAACGTGGAAGTACACTGCAGATTTGCCCAACCCTGGTCTTGGAGAGCCCCTATTCAGCATCTTTTAATTGCTTCCCTGATTCAACACACCTGATTCAATGGCTGAATCACCTGTTCAGAAGCTCATCAAGCTCTGCAGAAGGCTGTTAATCACCATTGATTCAAAAGGAAACAACTAAAACATGCTGGATAGGGGATCTTGAGGACCTGGGTTGGCCACGTATGGTTTTAGTTCTCGGACTTTGCTGCACCTCTTTACCTTTAAAGATGTGATTGACTCATTTAATCAATGAATTTGCAGTGGTTTCTAGTAGAAATGAATGACTTGTACTCTGGGGAAAAAAAGCTTAGATATTTCAGTCTGAATCCCTGCTGGTGTGAAGACAGACTCATTTTAAAAAGAACACATGCAATGTTGTGTCTCCTTTCTGACCAGTTGTTGAATAGATGGTGAAAGGTCAGGTTGTACCTAAACTGACCATTGCTGGACGCTACATAGTTACAAACTGTATGTAGTTACTATGTATCGCTATAGTTACTTTTTCCAAAATGGAATTGACTTAGTAACTCAGTTAGCACATTGCAAAAGTAATTAGTTACCTAGCAATGTAATTATGATGTCACTTTGATGTTCTAAAACGCAGTTATGTTCAATAATATCACGTCAAAGATTTTTAACTGAATGATTCTCACGATCTGTAATGGAATAGATGGTAAGAATGTTCTTTTGGATATCCGGAATGTTAATTCCTACTAGGAACAATAGAATTATAGATGTCTGGAATATCCAGTCCACCAGACCACCTTAGGCTTTTATGGATTTTGAAATATCTGAAACTTACTTCCCACTTTTGCAGTTGTTATTATGGATATCCTTTATTATAATTTTTATAGTAACAACTTAGCTGTTGATGTCTTCATTCGCAATTTTGACTAGTAAGAATACAATTAGTACTAGGATGAATTATATTATTGCTATATAAAAAGGGAATCACGAGAGGTCAGATTGTTGATTAAGTGTTAAAATGGCTTGCCTAGCCTGTTCTGTTTTCACCGTTCTGAAGCACTGTTTATTGTTCTTTCCTCCTCTTTCACACATTTGTCCCCACCGATAATTACAGATCCCATCATGTTCATGTAATAATTGTCCCAGGCACTTTGCCTGTTCCATGATGCAACGTAGGTAATCATTCATAAATTATATTTCCCCAAGCCCCTCCCTTGGCTCTTTAAAGGATTATCAAAAGTCTAAATATTCAGTAAAATATTTTCTAGCATCGCAAGAAAGTCGGTCTGCATGAATCAACAACTAGATAGACTTGGGTGGCTTCAAAATATTCGTACTGGGCGGTATTCAACATTTGTTGTCTTTAGTCTGAAAAAGAAAAACAAAGAAAAACAAGTACAGAAATGAATCCTGCAGGTTTTTGAAGCATAATTTTCATGATAAAGTGAACAAAATAGTGCAAGGACAGCAGTGATTTGGAAAGAGATATAAATGATGGATCAATTGCTGCCTGACTGAAGGAACAGATGTTTTATGTGTGGGACAAGCTCAGAAAAAAATTGCCAATTCACTTTTCCGTTAGCAGCAGAGTCACAGTGAAGTTCAGCAATCAATACAGCTAATATGGACGTATTTATTGAGTTGATTTTGAGTCAAACAAGGCTGATGAGAGCAGAGCAGGGATGAAAGAGAAGAAAACAGATGAAATCTTATGAATCAGGAATGTTTGCTCTTTTGTCTTTTCGTTGTGCCGCACATGTGATGATGAGAAGCCGAGAAAGGGGAGGACATCCATCATGTGGTGCTCTTGGAGTGTGTTTGTGAACAGAACTTGTGTTTCACAAACCCTGAAGATTAATAGTTCTGGTTTATGTTCTGTTCCAGTTCTGGTACGGAACAAATTAAAAACCCTAAGCCGTAAAGGAGTTTGCCTTTGCTCCTAAACAGTTGGAGGGGCGTCCTGCTGGTGGTGTTTTATTATTTTATGGTGAGGAAGATGATGAATTTCGTTAATCTGAGAGATGTAAATGACAATAAGAGCACCCTGATATGATTCAGTGCATCGTAGCTGTCCTTGAAATATGACCTCATCCACCATTTGTTATCAATTTGGTGAAAGGAAACAGCCTTATCTTTGGAAAAAGGTGTTTCAGGAACTGCCCTAGACACCAAAATACCCTGAAGGTATTTATTTCTTTATTTCTGTTAAACATAGCCCAACCCCCTCACTGACTGCATGGTGAAATCTGCAGGTGGAAGTCTCCTGATACTGATTTATCGGTCAGTCAATATATCTGGTCAATATTTACCATTTATTCAGCATCAGCCGAAATACCTCTTCAGAAGAGCTGTTTTAGACGGGCACATTCATGGGCAGCCAAGGGTTGTTACCATATTTCATTTGAAGAGCAAGTCAAGCCCAAATCAACCTTTTTTTTTTTGCTGATAAAACTGTGGAAATGAGTGTCTAATACTGCTGTAGCCATGTCATTATTTTGTTAACCCTCCCACTGTCCTAATGGGTGTGACCTGCGAGGAAAGCTGACCATTGAGCAGGGTTGATGGTTTATCCCTTGGGTCCATGTGGCAGCAGTGAGGAGTGAGCACCACCTCACCCCTGCCACAAGGACCTCAAGGGATAAACCATCAATCCTGCTCAATGGCCAACTTTCCTCGCGGGGTCACCCATAAAGACAGTGGGAGGGTTAAAAATATGAATATTCCGCCTAAATCTATCAGTGTGGCGCCATCTTCAGGTTAAACCATTGCTTTACATTTTTATTTCAGTAAGCTATTGCTATTGGCTAAATGGCACTGTGTAAAGTGGCTGCACTGCACTGCAGCAGAGTCTTGGCCACGCCCCCAGGTGGCGCAGCACCGGTTACCTCGGCAACTCACAAGGCGATACTAAATGATAAGGCTCAGAGTGCTCGCTGCTCTGTCTGAGCAGGATTTTATTTCACGAAATTCTCCGATCAGGAATCTCTGAGCGGGGTGGGGGTGACGTCAGTCACTGAGGCAGCGCCACTCTCTCGGTCCGCCAGGCGACACTTCTTCTTGGTGCAGGACGAAACAGGAAGTGTGGGTGTGGTGGAGTAACACCCTGGTGTGAGGGTGGCTTGCTGTTTAAATGTCTATTTATGTGACTGAAAAACATTATTGTCAGCTGGCATTTCTTTTAATTTGCCTGTTTTACTTTTATTACTTGGTCAGATTATTGGTTTGTTTGATTGATTTTGGTTAACTGAATGATTTCAAACTGTACACAAAATTGACATTCAAGAGTTGGTCAAATTAAATGTTTAAAAAGTGATTCCAATTCAAAAATGTTGTTCATTCACTCTTATTAGTGGCACTTGCATGCAAATAAGGCACAACATGTCGATATCAACATTGATAATCGGCCCAACAATTGAGCAGCACGAATCGGCTGACGATGACTGCTGCATATCAGTATCAGCAGCAGAAAACCCCATATCGGTTGATCTCTAGTGTCAGGGAATGGAGACGGTGTTGGAAACATGTCGTGACGTGTTTTATCCAAAAACTGGATGCATAGATGGGGTTTTGCAGAACAGGAAAAAGCATGAATTAAATTCTAAAATTTAAAGGGACTTTACGGACTTTTGAATTGTTATGCTCGTGATTGCCCCCTCAGGCCAAAAGCGTAACTGCAGCTTCAATAGTAGGCTCTTGCGCTGTACGTGCACACTCCATGAAAATAACAGCTGAGACAGTCCCGTGTGTGTGTGTGTGTGGCCCGGAGGACAGAGGACAGGAGAACACGCAGCTAATTAATTAAATAATTTGGTTCTGTACCTTTCTCTTCAGCACAGCCGACAAAGGTTTATGATGGGTCAGTCCTCCTGCATGCTCAGATCATTCCCTTCCCTTGCTTGAAAAATTGTTCCAAAATGAAAGTTGAACCCACATCTTTTTTATCTGTGAATTCAATGCCGTTCGGCGAGTCTCAAATAAAAATGTGGGCATCTTACTGTAAAAAATATACCATTAATGTAAAAAAGAAACTCTAAATGAACTATGTTCACACCCAGAATCAAACCCAGGTCTTCTGCATGAGAGTCAGACATTTTACAGGGTGAGCTACACTCTAGTAACATTCACAGTATCTGTAACTTTTATATTCTCGATGACAGCTGAAACAACGTCAAACCAAAGAACGGTTTGAAGCGAAAATGGCTATTTTGTTGCTAATTTGCAGGAAATATCTAGAAGAAAGTTCTACAGAAAGAAGCTAAGGGTCCTCAGAAATGTAGCTAGGTTCATCACTAGGCGTTAGGAACAGTGACAAAGTGGCACTGCCTCTCTCTCTGCTGCTAAATCTACAGATAGCAAATGCTACGGGCGATGCCTGAGCGTGAACGCGCATGAAGCAGCCTGCTCGACCCGAGCATCTCTCTTTTTCTGTGATTTTACAGAAAAACAGGCAATCACAGTAAAAATGCCAGGGCTCATTCTACAGGACCAGGGCATTGCAGGAGAATGTAGGAAGAAGAAATTTATTATTTCTATACATGTTTTGGCTGTCAAACTTCCATAATGTCCCTTTAAGAATACTTAGGAAAGAACAATAATGCAATGGGACCACTCCAGGAAAAATCTGCTTTAACGAATCACATATAAGGGAAAGTCTCTCCGCACACATGAAAGAAATCCATTGTTTAAAAAAGTTTTTTTTTTTTGTCATGCCAAAGAAAAATTTTATCTCCTTTTAAAAATTGATGGGACTTTTAAATATCCCAGCACAAAAGCTTGCATCCTCGGTGATTTCTGTCTCTTTTTAAAAATTAATTTGCTCTATTCATCTTTTGATTCAGTTCAAACAAACAAACATAAGTGCATTTCATTTGGAAGCTGAAAAGACTTTAACAAGACTCGATGTGAGCATGCAGCATGTTAAGAATTAAAACAAAAGCTATAATTAATCTGCAATGTGTGTAC